GAGAATTCATTGTGATGGGCTTGGGAGGTGTCACGGTGGAGCCCCTGTCCTCTTTCATTCTCTGTTATTTTTTCCCTGCTCGCGGCCCCTTTCGACCGCAGGCCTCTCTCCGGCTGGCAGATAGACAAGACACCCATGCCACCCACAACCACTGCTCTTGCTGTCTGGTGTCGTCGGCCAGAATCTTCAAGCACACCAGCGTGAAGCTGAGCCGTCAGATACGGTCTCAGGGCGCTAGATCAGCAGGACATCACTAGCGCTCCAGCTGGGTCGCCAAAGCTCGGCGGCAGGCCCCCTGGCTCAGCTCGATCAGGCCAAATCAATGATTCGGCGGTCGTGATTGCACCGAGACAAGCGCAAATTTCAGGCGCTAGCTGTGCCCTCGGCACCGCCATTGATATTCGCTGGTTGGCGGGCCTGGGCCATCCCCTAATGTACGTGTATCACACAGACGAACTCGCGTCAACACAGCACTGCACAGAGCTGCACCGACCCAGCACGGGTGATATTGCATTCCATGACAGCGCCGGGAAGCGCCACCAACTCTTCTGGGCTCGGCCGTGACGCAAGCCAATGGGCCTCGAGCGCGGTGGGCGGGCGGGTAGACGTGGAGAACTCGGATGTGCGAATCGCTGGCACATCACGTCTGCTGCCAGTATCAGGGAAGGGCGGTGTCTTGGGCGTTGACAGCGCCCATCTCCGACGAACGCGATACACACTTTACAACAGTTGCAAGGGGCATCTTTCAAATTCAGGTCTGCTAGATGGCCGAGACATCGGAAAGCCGGTTCGGTTGTCTTGTCAGATGTCAGCAGTATATCCAGGACCAACATTCATGCGAGCGAAAGGCAGCGGCCTTCGAGAATGATGCAAACAGGCAAAGACGCACCGCTGGGCGGGATGAGGTCACAACCGAAAATGACGGGGAACCGCGCGCCAAGACGTCGGCGCCGCTTGACTACCACATCCACTGCCGAAAGAGGAGTGGGTTCTCAGGCGGTGGCAGACCGCACGTCGTGGAAGTCTGTGATTGCTCACATTTTCTGCTTTGTTCTTTTTGCACTGCTACTGGTGGAAAGGCGATCGCCGCATCTTCCCCAACTGCTAGCCAGGCAGATCGGGTTCAAAGACAATCATTTTGACTGTTTTGAGAGCCAGCGAAGCCACAGAGCTCAACAGCACCCACTCTATACGGAAAACACCGCGCAGGTGACATCTTCTCCATCGATCGCCTCCGCTACTGAGTAGGACAGCTTCGATGCTGACTGCCGCGGAAAGAAACGTGTGTGCATCTCAGATGGGAGGTAGGTAGGTTGCGAGTTCACCTGTTACTGAACAAAGAGGCAGCCAGGCGGCAGGGAGCATGTCAAGGCCTCCGCATCCGGACAGTCCCTGTGTCAAGGGAGACAGACTATGAGATTGCCCCCTATCCTATCCCTATCTTATCCCTCAACATGATCTTATACTTACATGAGCAAGAAAGTAGGGCATAACGGTAGATATGGCTGCCCTTCAAGATGAAAAAGCTGCCACTTGCTCGGCCTCTCTCCCTTGTGTGGAAGGGACGAGCATTGCGTGCAAATATACAAGGCTGGAATTTGCAAGGGATATTGCCATTGCGACAGCATTCCATTAACTCCCCTTCCAAGAGCGAAAGCGGATATATGTAACAGTTACAACAGAAGCGGGCGACGATAACAATGGACTGTTTGTTCAAGCCCAGTAGCATGTTAAATCAACAGGCCGTAACTATTCTCTCGTTTGTCTTGTGAAAAGCGACTCAGAAACTCGGCAACTAGAGGTCGTGGACAGTCGGCGACATCAAGCGGCGAACAAAAACGACAGTATATATCACGCAGAGCAGATAACAAGCATGTCGCACGACCAAGAGCACGTCTCCGACGCGGAGCTGGGGCGCTACGGCTACGTACAAGGCAACGACCACGCGCTGCCGTACCTCTCCAAGTGGTCGCGGGAGATGGCCGTGGACCTACAGCAGGTGCCGGCGGTACTGCAGCACCTCAACTGCAGCTACCTCTCGACGCCAGGCCAGGCGCCGACGCTGCTGGCGCTCAAGCAGCACCTGCAGTCGCTGGCCGTGGTGGTGGCGCAGCTCTGCGTGACGGACAAGGCGGCGGCGGGCGAGATCGGCGGGGCCGGCGACAACGAGACGCGGCGCAAGATCCAGCTGGGCGACGCCATGGACTGGCTCTCGTCCCTCACGACGCCCTACGCCAACGACGACCCGGACCACCACCGCCGCCTCAACAGCCTGCTCAACGAGGTCGAGGCCCACCACGACGTGCTGGGCACCCAGTACCACTGCGCGCTCCGGTCGGGCGCGCCGTCGGTCCCGCGCGGCGAGGGCGAGCCGGGCCCCGTGCTGCTGCAGCAGCCGTACGCGAGCCACCACAACCTCCTCATGCACGCAAACGCCTGCCTCGAGCGGCTCGACCACGAGCTGAGCGCGCAGGGGGGGATCCTGGCGATCATGCCGACCGACGACGCCGTCGACGACGACGAGCGGCGCGGGGCGCGCAACACGCTGCTGGGCCAGCTGCTCGCCTTCGCGCAGGCGCTCGTGGGCCGTACGCACGACCTGGAGCTGTCGCACGCCCACCTCACGGACCTGCTGCGGGGCGAGGCGGTCGCCCCCCGGCAGCACCTGTCCGCGCTGGGCCCGGACGCGCGGTCCGTGGGCCGGCAGCCCGTGTACCCCCAGGACCGGTGGGTGCTGGCCAACGCGGGCGACGACGTCTTCGGCCACCTGCACCGGCTGCTGGATCGCGAGGAGGCGCTGGTGGGGCAGAAGGAGAAGATCTGGCGCCAGCTCGGGGCCGTCGGGGAGCGCATCTGGGAGGAGGAGCGCGGCAAGGCCTACGCGCGCGGCATCGTGCACATCACGGTGCCGACGCGCTACTACCGCATCAAGCGCGGGCCCGACGGCGGCGGCGGCGGCGGCGGTGGCGGCAACGACGGGAACACTACCAACGACAACGACGATCCGGGCACCATCTTCGTGATCCCCGCGTGGGAGCACCACCCGGGCGTGGAGCACACGCGGCGCATGGAGCAGGGGCTGGCGCCGACGGTGGCGTCGGTGCCGACGCCGCACTGGCCCGAGCGCGTCAGCGAGCTGCAGGAGCGGTACCACGGCAAGGCCGTCGACGGCGTGCGCGCCCTGGTCGAGAACGAGGCCCTGCGCGCCCGCGTGGCCGCGCTCGAGGCCGACGTCGTGGCGCTCCGCGGCGACCGCCAGCGCGTCGAGGACCAGGCCGACGTGCTCAGCGAGTTCGCCAGCGTCCAGCAGGGCGCCAAGGCCCTGGCCACCGAGGTGGCGTACCTCCGGCAGCGCATCAAGGAGTTTGAGGCCAAGGAGGCGAGGATGGTTGAGTAGCTGTGAGGGGTTGGGCTGTTTGTCTTCTTTTTTCTTTTTTTTTCTTCTGTTCTTTTGGTTCCCGTTCTTTGGCTTGCTTTTCTCTGTTTCATTTCTTTTCTCCGCCGGGTCTTGCTTTTTTTCTCCTGTCCTTTTTTCTCCGCCCTTCATCTCGCTCTCACCGAGACACCAGCGAAGCTTGCGCCACTCACATGGTCGAATGCTATCCAAATGCGTCGCCGTCGGCCACCTACCAAATTCGTCAACATCTCCACTCTGGGCAACTGAGCACGTTGCAAATGCAACCAAACGAGACGGCAAAGGCCAGCTCTCATTGCTTGCGAAAAGATGGTCCCTGGATATGGCGCGATAGACGGGATGCGTGATTTAGGAGGTGCTGGTTGTGGAGATGGAGGGCCATTTTGTGTCGGCCGGGAACGTGGTTCAGTAGCATTCAATCATTTCGTCGACCAGGCTGCCCGTCTTCCTTGTGACTGCTCCAGCCGCAGGGTGGCCCATCCATGACCAGAGCTGTAGCTCGTATTGTCCGTAGTCTTCTACAGCCGTAGCCATCCCTCCAAAGTGAATGAATGCATGTGGCGGTCAAACGCTTCGGGCATGGTTGGGGTTCCGCGCCGTTTCTCCAGCGTGTCGAGTGAAATATTGGTCTCTTTTGAGCCTGGCGCGCCCAGATTCGCTTGGGCTGGCCTCCCGAAGGATTTCCGGTGTCTGTCAGGAGCCAGGCCAGTGCAGACCCTGCCGGCGCCCGAAAGGGAGCTCTGGCGGCCGCTGGCTGGCTGCTTCACCCCAGCTCATGGAGAGCTGCCAGGGGCGGGGTTGCGGTTCTGCAGCTGTTGGCGCTGAGTCTAGATGGTTGCTGGGCCGACGAATGTGACAAAAACACCGCCGCGGCGTCGCCCAGTGTCCACTCGCTTCCGTCGATGCGCTGGCGCTGCCATTGGCTGTCCCGGATGACAGGTAGGCGGCACATGGACGAGGGTGCGGAGGCTGTCACCGTGTCGGCCGACCAAACTCTGATGAAGTTGGACTCGCTTTCCCATGCTTGCCGCTGCTGTTGGTCCATGTCGGTCATAATTTGATCGGTGCCGTCAAGGCGATCCATCAAGGTGATCCATCAAACTGCTCCATTGCTGGTCCCCGCCACCAGAGACCTCAGCACGGGCAAAGACCAGGCCTGGCTCTCCCGAAAACACAGTCAACCACTCATTCCCCGCCCCCATCGGCTCGTTGTAGTGCTTCATTCTCGCCTCCACCTTTTTATTTTTTCGTTATTTCCTTTTCATCCGTCCGTGCTTGAGCCCTGCCCCCTCCCCTCCTCCCACCCTGCCAGCGCCCGCGGGGAGCCGTGAGGTTGATCGCCGTGTTACCGGAAGAGGCTGCGATCATTAATATGCTTCGCTAAGATTATTGTTGCGCCACTCCCCGGTTTTTGATTTTTTTTTAGCCTTTTTTTTTCTTTTCATTTTCCCCAGCTGTCTCACCGACTGCGCGCGTGCTCGGCAGCTTGGCCATTCCTTGCTCCCCCTGCGGCTGTTTTTGTCTGCAGAGCTCAGAAAGACTGACCGGCAAAGAGCCAGCGAGGACGTCATGCTCTGGCTCTGAGACAGGCCGCATTCCGCCTCTTTGGACCGTCGCGGTCTCGTCTCTAGCGACCACCTGCAACAAAGCACGCTCAGATGCTGTCAACCTCAAGTCTGCGCTCAGGCGCCCTGTCACTCTCGGCGGCGGCAGCTACCCGACGCACCCTGGCTTGGGTTTTCGTCCTGATTCTGCTGTCGCTACCATCGACTGCCGCAGCGGCGCCTCCACTGGTCCTTCCTTACATCCCGACGACAATCATCATCCCCAGCTCGACGGGCTCGCACGACGGCAAGAATGGCAACTCCATCGCATACATCTTCGCCCCAACTGCCTCATCGGTCGATTTGCTGGCCCTGGACATCTCGGCCACCGTACGAGCCTCTTCACTCACTACCCAGACTCTCACAAAGGGCTTACCCTTCCTCACCGGAGGAGCGGGGAAGCCTCACAGCACCACCTTTGCGCCCGCATACCTCGGAAACAACACAATTGGCGCATATGCGGGCAGCTGCTCGCCTGGCGCCGACAAGCCAGCGCTATGGACTCTGCCACTAAGCGACCCAACTGGCGTTTGGGGCAGTCGAGGGCCGCCCGTCACAGGCGGCAACTCGACGCCCGGCGCCCCATCCTTCCTAGGCGCCGCCCTGAGCTTTTCCACACAGATCGCGCCGACCGTCTCGCCCGCCTCGATATATGTTTACGGCGGCATGTGCCCGTGGGCTAATACCACCGGGTTGGCATGGGCCAAGGCCGCGGCCTACTCCAACCAGATGCTCAAGCTCGGCCAGCTGCCCAACGCCGCCTACAACGCCAGCCCCATCCTTAGCAAGGGACCGCCCGTCGCCAACGCCGGCTTCTCCCTCACGCCTCTGACGCCTTCGACGGCCAACCGATCGGGCGTTGTCACGCAGTCGATTAACAGTGTCCTCCTAGGCGGCCACACGCAGGCAGCCTTTATTAACATGAGCGGCGCCGCGATATGGAGCCTACCTGAGGAAGTCTGGAGCTTCGTGACCATCAAGCAGCCGTCGTCTGCTCCAACAGAGCTCAGTGTCCGAAAAGACGGGAAGGGGCAGCGCCGCGGGCTCCCCGTGGAGGTTGACAGCAGGTCCGGGCACACGGCGATCCTTAGTGGGGATGGGAACTCCATCGTGGTTCTGGGAGGGTGGGTTGGAGACACCAGTCAGGCGGCGGAACCGCAGCTCGCAGTCATCGAGATTGGCGAGGACTTTGACAAGTGGAGGTGGAAGATACCGTCTGCGCAGCCCAAAGGCCCTGGCATTTTCGGCCATGGCGCAACCCTGCTGCCCGGAAACGTGATGATGGTCTACGGGGGCTACAGTGTATCACCACTGACCAAATCCAAGCTAAAGAAGCGGCAGATGGGCGGTAATGCGCCCATGTTCCTGAACCTCACATCCATGACATGGTCCGGCGACTACACCAACCCCTCATACGACGGCTCCTCCGGTACCGGTACAGGCCCTGGTTCCTCAGAATCGGCACCATCCAACAACAGCCGAGATCTCGGGCTCGGTATTGGACTAGGTGTGGGCATCAGCGGAGCTGTTGCCATCGTGGTTGGCATCATGTGCTGGAGGAGGCACAAGCGCAACTACCGACGCGACTCGGCGGTCCGCGCCCTGGCTCAGGACGCCAACCTCTTTCTCCCCGACGAGGACGAGATGGCAGAGCGCGCCGGCGGCCCCTCGTACGCCTGGGGCATGGCGAGGGGACCCTCTGGTCCCAACGAATGGTATACTGGCGGGCCCGACCCTTTTGTGCGTGGAAGCCGTTCGCTGGGCTACGAGTCCTTGCGCGGCGCCCGCGGCCCGGGCGGGCCGAGCTACCCGCCACCGATGGCCATGCGGAAGGGCGCCAACCCACGTAATGCTAGGGGCATGTACGTCCAGGCGCCTGGGGGGTTTGACAACAGCGGCAGCCCGCGGGCGGGCGGCATGCTCGCTGGACCCGGAGACATCCACCCGATCTATGAGGCGGACGAGGATGGCGAGGCAAGCCTGGGGCCGACAGCTCCCATGAGCCCGGACTCAAAAGAGATGGAGACGTCTAGTGACCCGTTCATGACGCCCACGAGCACCAAGGGCGACATGGGTATCCTGGGGGATGCGTCGGCGGCGCCGCAGAAGGCAACTCCGAGCCCCGATGGCAAGAACAGCATCGGCGGCGGCGCCCCGCTGCCCCAAGACCGCGAAGTGCAGGATTGGGTTTCGGACATCGACTCGACGGACGCGGTCCTCACTGCGCGCATCGGCCCACACAGCACGACGACCACCAGGACCATGGTCACGGCTCCCATGCTACCGCCGCTCACCGTCGCGCCCCTCAACCTGACGGGCGGCAGTGCCAGCCGGCGCTCTCCCACGCGTCGGCATTCTGCCCGATCCAACCCGAGGAATAGCGCGTTCTCGTTTGTCGCAGCTGGAGACGAGGAGGCCGGCCGTACGGCCAGCAACCTCTCCGAGTCGAACCGCAGCGCCTTCAGCTACTCCATGTCGAGGTCCGGATCGGTGCGCTCGCGGCCTGGGACAAGCTCGGGCATCGCCGCGCTGGCGACGTCGGTCGCCGGCGCGGGGCCGATGCGCAGAAGAGCCGAGGACGACGACCGGCAGCTCGACAGCAGCTCCGCCAGCAGCAGCGGTGGCGCCTCGTTCAACACGGCGCGCTCCAGCTTCGCGGCGATGCAGGCCGAGGGCCCCACCCTGCTGTCGGGCAGTCCCGGAACGACAGGTGGTGAAAACAACAACAGAATCGGGCTCGTGAGGGGCAGCGGCGGCGGGAGCCTGATCGGCGGCACGTCCCCGCGGGCGGAGCCCAGGGACGACGACGATCACGACGACAGCCCCGGCAGCCCGAGCAAGAACAAGCCTCGCCGCTCGTGGCTGGGCAGCTTCCGCCGCGTCTTCAGCAACCCCGGCGGCGCGGGCGACAGCGCCGAGTCGAGCCGGAACGAGAGCCCGACGAGCTTCGAGGGCGGCGATTACGAATCTCCTGGCCTGGTGGGCGCGCCGAGCACGCTCTCGCGGCGCAAGCAGGGCCGCGAGGCGTGGATGGACGAGATCCCGGGCTCCGGCAGCGGGGCAGGGGCAGGCGGCGGCAGCAGCGGCCGCGGGGGCAGGACGGCCGCGCACGACGGTGGCGCGCGCTACCACGGCATCGGGGCCGACGACGAGGACTGGGATATCGAGCGGGCATCGGAGAGGAGGCTGGTGCAGGTCATGTTCACGGTGCCTAGGGAGCCCCTGCGCGTGGTCAATGCCGAGATCGAGAAGGAGGAGGAGGTGGAGATCATGGACACGGAGAAGGAGGATGACGACGATGACGGCGGCGCCGACCTCGGGGGTGGCGATCTCGGCAGCCGCGGCCTGCTCAAGCAGACGCCGTCGGGCTCGCCGTCCTCGGCAAAGGAGAAGGGCAAGCGCGCGGCCGCCGGCCTCAGCTCGGCCCCGGACAGCGGCAACAGGAAGGGCAGCGCCGGCACCGGCGGCCTTCTGCCCCCCGTGGCCAACAAAGTCGACGACGACTGGGACCCCTTCTGGGACTACGGATCCGAAAGCGCGAACCTCCGGGGCGGGTCCGGCGGCAGCAGTAGTGTGCTAGCCAGGCTCACGCCGGACATGGTGCGCGTGCCCGACGCGTCCGAGGCGAGCGAGGACATGCGGTGTGACGACAGCAGCATCATCATCGTCAGAGACACCAGCGCCATCGGCCACGACGACGACGACGAGGAGAACAACAAGAATGGCATCAACAACAACGGCAACAACATGAATAGCCACAGCAGATACGGCGCCGGGCTCGACAGGGCCTCCACCCCGGCCGGCCAGTCGGAGGTCGGCAGCGAGTACAGCGGCGTGGACGAGAAGCGCTTCTCGCGGTCGACCCTGGCGTCGACGACGACGTCGGACTTTTTGTCGGTGCACGGCGGCAGGAGGCTGTCGATGGAGTCGCGCTTCTCGACCGACTCGCACACGCCGCACTCCGTCATGACGGCCGAGGCGGTGCGGCTCAAGAGGCCGCCCACCGTCGGGCGCGTGCTCGAGATGGTGGAGCGTATCGAGGAGGAGGAAACGCGGGTGAGCAGGGCCAGCAGCCCGGTCCGACGCCCGTCATGATCGCGGGGTGTGGGTGTTTCGGGTTGCCAGCCAGGACAGAACCAGGATGCATATGACCATCACCATCACCATACGCTTGTTTTTTTTACCATTATTTCATCATCTTTGCTCCAGACCTACATGGTCACACTGCAGACGCAAAGGGCGCAACAAAGGGGGGCTTGGTCGTGAGGGGTCGGGTCTTGGAATCGTGGAGTATTCTTTGGACCCCGGGCGTTCGGAACCTCGGTGCTTTTCGCATTGTATTTGCTTCGACAACAATTTTCATGGGCTACAGGACTTCTTTTTTCTTCAACATTTCTGTCTCTCATCATCATCCCCAGCAGTTATTGGTTGCATGTCCGCCATCTTCAACTCTGGGCCTAGGTTTGGAGCAAAAAGGGGAAGCCGGGGTTTCTAAACAGGAAGCGGGAGTATCACTTTTTATTGCCAGTTGTTTGCGGGATTTAGCTTAGCTTTGAGGCGTTGCCGTTTGCCTTCTATAGTTGGTCCTCGAGATGGGGCACAATGCAATGGACATGGACTCTAAACAGTAGTAGTCTCTGCACCACTTTTCAACCCCTTGAATCAGAACCAGATGCCAAAATCACCAATGACATCATCCTTTGCACCGCATCAATAAATCCGAGGGGTGTCCCCACGATGATCGGGTCAGGGGTTGATCGTCACCCGTAGCGCCGATGATCCTCATCTCCCAACCGAGCACGAAGCGAGGCGGCAGAGAGGGGAACGGACAAAACGGGGTGCGGCGGCCAAGTGGCGCCAATGAGGGGTCGGCTGCGGCGGAGAGACATTTGGGTTTGGTCGGTGACGGCACCGGCCCCGGGGCGACTTGGGCTTGTGGACTTGCCCTCCCGTTGTTGGGTCTGCCGATTTCGTCAAACCTCTGCTTCGGCACGTCCCAATTCGGCGGGCTAGGACCACATCGCCTTGTTTACCTGCAGGGAAGGGGAGAAAAAAAAAAGGGACGAGGCAAGACAGGGTGAAGCGGGGGAGCAAACCCGGATTCAGTCGAGGGGCCCCTGCAATCAATCGAGATTCCGACAGACTCGGAGAGGTCAAGGCTCATCCACTCGATCCCTTGCTCTTGCTCTTGCTCTTGCTCTTGCTCACAGGATGGAAAGCAGATCACAAGCAAAAAAAAAGAGCAGTATGGAAAAGAGAAGTTACATACCGGGTTCCAAAAGGCAAATTTTGAGCGACGGCACACAAGCCGGGGATGACTCGCACAGAAGGCAGAAGGCACAGGAGGCGCGGGTGGCTGCAGCACTTGCCGCGACGGCTGTCTGGCATTTCGCGGCCCTGATCTCTTTCCAGAGATGTGATTCGTGTGCTTTCCCTTTGTTTTGTTGTGTTTATCCCTCCCACGGCAGGGATTTCCCATGATCAACACAACCGGACAACCACAACAGACATCACAAACAGTCAAAGAGTATCCACCGAAGCCTTGTTCTCTCGGGAAACCACTTCTTTTAAACAAGACTCGGTGGCGCACATGGCAACATTTCGAGACCCGAGCAAGCATGTGAGGGGGGGAAACTGGTGATGTCCGGTAGGCGATGTCCGGTAGGCTAACAACAGTGCCCTCATCAAGGCGGCGGGCAGGGTAAAGCAGGGAAGGTAAAGGAAACAAGAGAAAGAAACAAAAAGAAAGGAAAGGGTCGACGCACCAAGAAAACGAACGGGCCTTGGTCCGGACCCCTGCGCCGATCGCCGGAATCACGGAAGGAAGCAGAAGCAGAGGGAGCCATTGGCTGGGCAGTTTTGAGGCAAACCGTAGAATGCAGCCAGCTAGGGGACCGTCCTGCGGGTTCTGTTCTTCATGATGCATGCAGCGTGCGTCTGATGCAGCGTGTGTCTGCTGTTTGTGCGTGAGAAAAAGAGTGTGTGGTCCCATCCGGGCTGCCCGCTCGCGCTGACTGGGTGTGCGTTTGGCAATGCCGGTTTTCTGGCCGTGGGGGGAGGCTGGATGGGCTCGTATCCGACTGTTTTTTTCTTCTTTCCCATCAGCTATCACTATAATCACGACCTGTCGCCGCCGCCGGCTCGCCGCAAACTCGTATGCACCGCGCCATGCATGCACGCCATCACCCCCCCAGCCCAACCACCCCTACCCCGCACGCGAAGGCGTGATCGATATCTTATACTTTGCATCGATGTAAATGGAAAAGGTTACCATCCCTCTTTTTGCCGGCCGCGTACAGTAAACGTCCACATGCGTGTCGACCACATCATCCCGTCAGGTCGGGTGTGCCAATGATTGCAAGACCTCTGCCTATCCGAGCTAGTTTGGCGGGGAAGGGGGATCCCCATGTGTCTTTTGCTAACTCCGCGTGGGAGGAGACTTCGTATTGTAATCCGGAACCCGAGCCGGCCCCGAGTGGCGCGCTCGCTCGCGCAGGGTCACATTTTTGTTTCTTACATATAGCTTTATTGTTATCGCAGCCGCTCTCGTGTCAGTGTCATGCATGCATACCAGCCCTCTGGCTGCCGGAGAAATGGCCGAGACGGACGCCACTGGCGCGGCGGAGGGAGGGAGAGTGAATGATAGCGGCGCTTGTGATCCGACTGTCTACCCTCGGTTCCTTTTCCTCCTCTCTTCCAGGAGATAAATCTCCGGGCACGGCGCTCAGATCCCAGCAGCGTATCCAGGCGTGGGTTCAAATCTGCACAGCGACTCGTGTGGGTGGGGGGAGCTTCTTCTGTTGATGTGCTTTTACAACTCTTCCCCACCGCCGTTGTTGCTTGCGTGTCTCTCCCTCGCACACGCGCTCTCTCTCTCACTCTCTCACATTGCTATCGCTCTCCTGCCCGTACGTGCGTAGCCGTGCCTATGATTTGACTCTCGGATGGCGTAGGTCTCGCGCATCGAATACATAACTCATGTATCATGGCGCGTGTCTTGGCTTGGTGTTCCGGCAGCCCGAGTCCAGAGCCCGTCGGCGGGATAGCTGTCAATTCCTGTCCGTGTGGTCTGTGTGCAGCTGGCCGGCTTGAGACAGGGGTACTTGGGAGATTCGGTCTTTTTGGAGATGCCAGCCGCGCGTCGTCCCAAGTTGCTCCTCGACTGCGCAAGAGGCCGTTGGGCATGATGGCGGCCGTTGACTTCTGCCCTGTGCCAACCCACACTGGACGGAAATCGGTGGACCCGACAGTCATCATCCAGGAACAAGAACCCTTCCGTGCTTCTCTCGCAATTCACTTCGTATGAGCATCAACACCAGCAACATCTCCACCCACACCCCGACCAAACCCCTATCCTGGCATGCTGCGGACAGGGGGGACCCTGGGACGAGGACGTGCAGATGAGGGCAAAAAAGGGAACGAAAACCTGCCCGCGCCGCTCGCCCGCGCACTTGGTAAATGAGGGCCGATGAAAATAACATAAGCGTTATGGGAGGCTAAATTGGGCCAAATGACAGAGGTCTCAAGACAAAGAGACGACTCGCGATGCAGCGCGCATAGAGTCCGAGTCCCGTCCATCGCCTAGATAAAAAAAAAAATGGAAATCTCAAATAGCAAAAACATCATGGTTCGAGAGACTGTGATTGCCGTTGCGGGTGGCACACGCCGGTTCGGCTGGGCAACCAACGGCGTGCTTCTGGTCAAAATTGAATGTTTTTCTCTTTGGCTGCTCTTGGGCGTGGCGATCCTCATTCCCCTGCCAGCAGGATTGAGGCCCGGGAATCCCACCGAGGAATGTGCTGAAGTTGATGGCCTTCTGCGAAGGCGTGAAATCACCAGACGGGCGTTGCTTGAACAGGAAAGCCGTAGTGCATACTCAGTGCATAATCAGTACATACCTCCCACTCAACCGCCTGCCACCCAACCGTTCATGTTGTTGACAGCTCCCGAGCTGGCATCCCAAGGTGATTTCACCCGAAATGCCCAAGCCAGACGGCGGCGGGCCAGCGCGGGTCAAGTCAGGTCTTGGTCGACACATCACCTGTGGTTGGTGGTGACGCCATCAACCGCCTGTGTTTGGGGCCAGTACAGCAAGGGCCGAGAGTGGTCGCATCGTGCCAGGGCCAGCCACCCAGGGGCCAGTGCTAGTGGGTATCTCCACTGGGGACGGCCATGAGAGGAACACCAGCAATGTGATGCGTGTCGCTCGTTGTTTTTAGCGCGGCCTGCCACCTAGCCAGGCGGCGCGGTTGGAGGTGCAGGCGAGTTGGTGCAGCCCCAGCAGCCGCATTGGCTGCCGCTCAACCCGAAGTCACCACCCTGGCGCCGGACCCAGCTTCGGATCCACTCTTGGGCCTTTTAACCCAAGCACCCAAGACACCACTCTCTCGGCCTGGTCGTAGTCCCCGTTTCTTTCGCCTTTTCCCACTCCACTCACTTCCGGGCCTGCACTGGCCGAACGAACAGGCTTTTTTCTTTTCCTTTTTTGTCGTGGTTGAACCAAGCACCAGTGGGCAAGGGTTTCATTTTTTTCTGTCTTTGCTTGGTTTCGTTTTTTGACTTTTGTCCTCTTTCCTAGCCCTCCCCTCGCTCAACTCCTGCCTTTGGCCCTTTCCTCCCTCGCTGCATCGACAACGGCCCTCGCCGCGTCCAGCGCCCCTATTGGCCTTGCGATTCTGGGTCCTCCGTCCAGTAGGAATCGACATCTCGACCCGACCGACCGACCGACCGACCGACCTCACCCTATTTCGCTACCTCGGGCGCCGGCGAAGCCAGCCCAACACCCTCGCTGCCTGCACTTGAAGGTGCAAAGGAGTCGACTTGCACCGACTCGACTGAACGCCTGCACATCTCCCAGGCCCCGACCCCGACGACAACTAGCCCGTCGCTTCACTCGTCGTCCAAGAGCACCTCGTCTGCGTGTCGTGCTATGGCGGGTGGCCCATAGCCTGATCCATCACGAGACTGGCCCAGTCGGAGCTTCGTGGAAGCACTGGGCCACCACGCCCCGACGCTGCCACCTGTGGGACGCAATCCATCAGACGTGCGTAACCGCACATGAGTCTGTCGTTGTCTTTTTATAAACGACTCGCCAACGACAACACGCCAGACCTGCGCCGGGCCGTGTCCCCATTCTCTAACACACTCTCCCTCAGAATTACGCCTCAACACATTCGCCATGATTCTGTCGCGGGGACAGCCAATGAGCTGGGCCCTAGCAATGGCCGGTGTCCTTCTATGGACAGGCCTTGCCTCTGCCCAGCTCATCAAGGTGGATTATTGCTCTAACATGAACACTGCCACAACGCCAGGGAGTGAGTACAGCATTTACCAAGCAACACTGTTCTCGCCATCTATCTTGACATATTGCTAACACGATATCTAATCTCCCAGACTACAGTGACTTTCAGTCCCAGGGACTGTGCCAGGTGTTCTGCAAGGATCGCAAGTTCGGGCTGGCGATCGTTAAGCAGAACAATTGCTGGTGTTCCAGCATCCTTCCAGCCGATGAGATCCAGATCTCGACGAGCAAATGCAGAAACTCTTGCCCAGGGTTCCCCGCCGACGTGTGCGGCGGCGACAAGGCCTTCGGATACATGCGTATCAACTCAAACCCCATCACTGCCACCACGGCCACCGGAGCTGAGGAAACCTCGTCGGTAAGTCAACCGATTCAATGATATGTCTAATGTGTCTCTTTGTTCTTGCCGTGATGGGCCCGTGTCCCCAAGTTCTCTCTCGTCGTGACCCACCCTTATTTGCCATTCCAGGTAACGATTGGTCAAGGACAATCCCAGAGGATGCCCGATTTGACAGTCATTGCCGTGAAACACAGGAAGGAAGACCACCAACGACCCAGCAGCCTAGCCGGGTCACGGTAACGGTCTCCCCGTCCTCCACGTCCAAGTCGTCAACAGACACAGTATGGACCCGCCCTCTGCGTCCTCCATGGACATCGGCCGCTGGTGATTATGGCATGGCAGGCCTTACTGCCGGATGGTGTGGCTCTGGCGATGGAAGGCTGACTGGGGGAAATACTAGGCTGCGAATACGGGCACGACGAGGAGAACGACGGCGCTCGTCGAGACGGTCACGGTCGACGGCGTCATTAAGACGGTCACGGCGCCAGCCAGTCCCGACGGCACGGACCCATCCCAAGCGAACCGCTCAGATGGCGAAGGTGGTGGCAGCGGGCTGGGGGGCGGAGCCATCGCGGGCATTGTCATCGGTATCTTGGCGATTTTTGCCATCGGTGGCATCGCCGGATTCCTGGTCATGCGACGCAGGAAGGCCAAGGCGGAGGAAGCGTACGAGGGCTCCGAAAGCCCAAGGGGCGGCAGCGGCGCGGCAATGGCACATGTGCCTAGGTCTCCTGACGGCGGCGACGGTTTCGGAGGGCGCCCCAGTGGCAGGCGCCCGACGAACGCGACGTACGGCAGTGACCATTCGAGTGGCCGCAGGAGCAGCATGCTGATGCCCGGAGACCCGAGGATGAACCCCTCGACCGGCATCTATGGTCAGGCCAATCTCAACAAGAGTCACGACAGCTTCCTGTCGATGCAGGACAACCGCGACTATTCGAGGCCCGTACACGCGCCGACCAAGGTTCTCAAGGTCACCAACGCCTCGCCAGCCGACATCGACTAGGCCTAGCACCTGTGTCTCCCGTCGCCCGCCTGGCGACTGGAGGAACCGCAAATCCATCGGCCTCATCCGACTTCGAGGTCACCTACCCAAACACGCCCGACGGCAACATATCAACCTGCTTCCTTGCGGCGCGCCTCGGTTGAAGTCTTATCGGTGCGAGACTCGACACAACCGTGACGAGTGGGAGAGGCTGCTCTCGGCAGCCACCCCTTGGCAGGATTGGTTACGACGTATACGAATTCCGTCCATTTTTCCATCACCATGCCACATAAATACTTTATTTTTGGGGCCTTTAAATTGCATCCCAATATACCAGGACGGCGTTATATCCTAGTAATACTTTTGTTTGCTTGGCTTATGTTCAAATTATCATTATTACTTTTGCACTCCCGCTTCCAAATCTTGTTTTCCTCTCTGGCATTCGGTTAACCCCTGGCCCAACAGCCAATGGATTGCGTGCACCTCGCTTGTTTTCTTGAATGGGCGTTGGATTGTGCCGAGTTGGCACCCCATCTAGGGCCGCGGTCAAATCAGAGAGAGACACAACCGGATCACGGGGTGACGTGGGGAATGTCCCCTAGCTCCAGTGTCTCTTCCCCAGGCGGTCTGCATTTTTTGCTTCTCCATCCTTTCGCCCCCATTGCGTACGAGCTGTGTGGGTGTGCCCTGAGATCGGCCGTCAAGGGGAATCCGCATGAAAAGGCCCTGGATCACGTTGCATCGAGGCTTGATGAAAAACTGGCAAATAATGAGGAAGGGCTGTAATCGGGCCTCGCTTTTTCCTGGAGGCATGCGCGCCTCGGGGGAACACACCACATGCAGTTCAATGTTACCCCCTCAGCATCGCCCCAGGGAAACAAACCATCGTTTTGGATGGACTTAATAGCGGATGAGATTTTGTACATAGCTTGGTGTGCCATGGACAAGGCAGCGGACCATGGCGTTGGAAAAGCGGCCAAAAAATCAAGTTACTTATATCTTGGGCTTGTGCAGAACTCCCGGCTAGTTTGATGCCCACTCGTGCTGTGGTGCTAGACGGGCTCCGGCCGTTGAGCTTGACAGCTCATCGAGTGCGAAGTCTTTGTTGTCAATGCCAGCCACGCTGGGAGAACGGTAAAGCCGTGTGCCCTGGGGTTAGTCAGATTAGGATATATGACGCGACGACACGTGAGGCAACATTTGATCTCATTTCATGAAGTGGCGTGCTGGGAAGCCTCTTGGTCAATATCTAGGCAATAATATGTGCCGGGTGTGTCCGCGTTATTACACATGGGGCGGGTGACGTGAGATCAGTCTCTTGGTGTGATTTCCCCAAGTATATTATATTGTTTATCGATGATCGTTTCTTTGACAATGACGACACCCCAAAACCTTTCCCGATGGGTGGGATTGTCAAGCAATGGCCACAGAGATGAAGGAAAGAACAGTCACTCGGAAGAAACGCGGCTGGGCGATCTCAATGTTGGTTCCGCGGGAAAACGACCTTGGGCAGCCGGGATGCTTGTTTTGAATAGAGGTGAATTGGAATTTGTTCCGACGGTTATTTCACGATCCGACATTGCTTCTGCAAGTCGGATATCTGATTGGGTTTCTCGGGCGACATCTGTGTACCACCACCTCGTCCCAACCAGGCGAGGGCAGTTCACGCGGCCAGAAAAGAGGAACCTGACACGCCCACCACAAAAGAAATTCAGGAGAGATTGCCATCTTTTTTGTGGTGGGCGTGCCTGGCTTGTCTGAATGTTGGCTAGGGGAGTCTGGGGGGACCAGGGAAGGATGGGATTGATGGAGCTCGCCATTCGTGAATCTGTAAATAGCACAGACGCTCGCCACCAGCATCGGCAGACTCTTCCAAGCTTTGATATCTCCACCAGCTCCTTTAGGCGCGGGGAAGACAAGCCCAGCAGGTTCCGCCCATGGAGCAATTGGACGCGAGAAGACAGCCCAGAGCCGCGCCAGGTTTTGGACAGGGGGTCAACATGGAACAAGCACTCTGACAGCCAATCAGGCGGGGCCCTCGGCAGGGAAGACTAGCGGAGGATCCCGACCAGCCCCTGTGCCCCCTTTGCAATCTCAGCAGATCCCCCGACCCGTTTTTGGACAAGGGCCGCAGGGCGTGCTGGGCCTGCCGCAGTGGGAGACACAAGGCACTAACAGGCAGCCAGCCTGTGGTCACGAGAGAGGGAGAGAGAGCGCCTCTTCTCCCTTGGTGACCCACCATGCAAGGGGCTCCCGCCTTGCGTCGATGGACGGGCGGCCCCTCCATGCAACCCCTTATCGATCTCTTGGGGGGGTGCTTGGGATGCAGCCTCCATCCACCTCGAGGAAGAAGGAAAAAAAAAAAGAAAGAAACCAACCACCCTTCTTCGACACGAGCAGCTGAAGTGCTTTTCCTCGGGGGTTGGCCGCGAATCACAGCTAAGCTGAGCTTTAGTTGTACCCCATTCTTTTTGTTTGACCTGGGGTGGTACATCCTCCAACCGACGTGCCGTCCTTCGATTCGCTGCGAGTGCTTCCTTCCTTCCTTTGTTGGACAAACAAGCAACTCGAGCTGCTGGCAGGCCGCGCAATCCATTCGTTTTTCCCTGTTTTTCTCTTTCCTCTGGCAGCCAGGAACAAGAAAAGAATAATCTTCCATACAGCGCCGCCGCCGCCGACTCAACCCCCAAACGACGATAGCAATCTCCCTCGCCGCTTGATCGTTTGCCGCCTCTTCCCTGTTATTTCGGCAGTAACAAATCCCATACTCCCGGCGATACGAACCGAACGCAAAACGGGAGGACGGACATCCAGTCTTTTTTTTAATCTTTTTTTTTTTCTTTCTTTTCTCACTCACTCTTCTTTTTTTCACCAGCACCTGCCGTGCACCCAACCATGTGCCTGGGCAGCGCCAACAAGACGGGCAGCGGGTAGCACCAGAACCAGCACTGTACTTGACAACTGTGCTTCTGCACGCTGTGCGCGCACACGACACGCAGGCCGCCGACGGCGCGAATCACGAGCCGGAAATCTCGACCATCTTTGCGACTACCGCAACAAGCGCCACACAGACTCTCGACTCACCTACGCACGCACCGCTCCCACTCCCTCCCTCCCCTGCCTCCCCGCGCCTGGCGCAAAAAAAAAAAAGAAAAAAAAGAGAAGACGACCGCATCACCTGTCGCATACGCTACGTCAACCCACCTGCCTGGACACGCGACGACCCATCTGGGCCCTGGGGCACAGCCTTGTCGCAATCTTCCTCCTGCCGTTGGCTGCTCCTGCGCGCGCGGCACAAACACCCACCCACCCGCACGCACGCTCAGTCATCGTTCTTGCCACTCTCGAACTTTTGCGATATATCCCGATCTCGCATTGTCCTTCGCGCGCGCGCCTGTCTTTCCACCTGCGCCCGCCCGAGCTTTGTGCTCACCTCGGACCTTTTGCCCCAGCCTTCTGCGAAACAAAACCACCCTTCCGACCCTCGGGTTTCTGCATCCCACCATCAGGGCGGCGCCTCGACGAGCCTCAGGCCCAGAACGGGGCCCTCCCCGAACTACTGCGCTGTCAGTTCGCCCTCAGTCTGCAGTCGAGAGGGGCTAGCCAGCCACCACAACCACCACCCTTCTTTTTTTCTTTTTTCTTCTTCTTTACTTTTGATCTTCTTTGTCTCGTAGCGCAGGGCCTGGGGTCGAACTGGCCGCCACCGAGCCCTGAGACAACTGCTTCACGTGGCCGAGTCGGGTGTCGCTGGACACTCCCAAGAAACACCGCAGCCATGGCCTTCAAGTTTAACACAACATGCAACGCGACGCTGGATGAAATGAGGAGTAGGTTGTCCCTTTGTCCTTTGTTGTTTCATATAACACATCCTATTTATTCATCCCATCATATGTCCTATATCCTATCTGATTTCTTATATCATGTTTATTTCATATATGCCATCTTTTTTCTTTCTTTACGAGCAATCCAGTTGCCCGCAATGTGTGCGTGCCGGAGCTGACCGTCAATCACAGTCCAACCTGGCGATGAGATCCCCATCGCAGGGCAGCTGACCTTCCACGACATCGCCCTGATCATCGCGGCCGCCTCAACGCTGGTGGCCGTCACCATGAGTCTGTGGCTGGTCTGGATGCATGCGATGCACTACACCAAGCCTCGCGAGCAGCGCCATATCATCCGCATCCTGTTTATGGTGCCCATCTACGCAACAAGTTCACTGCTGTCGCTGCGCTATACATGGCACGCCATATACTTCCAGGTTATGAGCGACTGTTACGAGGCCTTCGCCATCTCGTCGTTCTTCGCCCTCATGTGCCACTACATCGCACCGGACCTCCACGAGCAAAAGAACTACTTCCGCGCAATGACCCCGATCAAGGACTGGGTATGGCCCGTCAGCTGGTTTCGGGCCTGCTGCTGCGGCCCTCGCGGCCCCTGGCGCACCCCGTCCAGCGGCCTGACCTGGTTCAACATCGTCTGGGTCGGCGTCTACCACTACATCTTTGTGCGCGTCGCCGCCACCATCACTGCCGTTGTCACCCAGTACTTCCACCGCTACTGCGAGAGCAGTAACAGCCCTGTCTTTGCGCATATCTGGGTCATCGCTATCGTCTGCGTGGCTGTTGGTATCGCCATGTACTGCCTGATACAGTTCTACATCCAGCTGAAGGAGCCTCTGGCGGAGCACAGGCCGTTCCTCAAGATCTGCGCTATCAAGCTCGTCGTTTTCTTGTCCTTCTGGCAGTCGGCTAGCATCTCGGTTGCCACATCTCAGCTCGAGATCGTCAAGCCCAACGACGTGTTTGCTTACCCGGATCTCAAGGTCGGCATCCCCTCGCTTCTCCTCTGCGTCGAGATGGCTCTCTTCTCCATCATGCACATATGGGCCTTTCCATACCAGCCCTACCGCGTCGGCGCCAAGCCCACCTTCTACCCGGTGGCCGACCCCGCAAGCGGCGCGCGCCCAAAGGAGAACAAGCAGTCGCCCCCATCCGGCGGCTTTCTCGGAATACTCGCCCTCTGGGACGCACTGAACCTGTGGGATATTGTCAAGGCTTTCGGCAGGGGGATCAGGTGGCTGTTCTGTGGCGTCAAGGGCCGCCGCGGCGACCACTACGGCTCTGGACGCAAGGGAAGCAACGCTAGCAGCGACGATCTCTACCTAGGGAATCTCTCGGGGCCTAAGAGGCCCGGTCTCAGGGGTGGCAACAGCACCGAGCACCTGCCCATCGCAAACGAGTTTCGCAGGAGTAAATTCTTGATGCTGGGTGGCGGCGGTTCAGGAGGAGCAAACAACGGCCCGTCGGCAAGAGCAGGCGGAGGGAGCTCGAGCTCTCCTGGCCGCACCTTGACCTCATCCCCTCTTGCGGCCGGCGCCGCGGGCAACTCCCCGCTGGCGACCACCACGCTGCACGCCGCAAACACGCCTCAGCAGCACGAACCCTCGAGCCCAGGCTTCCAGCGCCCACCGAGCGCCAACGAGGGTGCCGGCCTGATAGCGCACGCCGCCTCGCCGGGCCGCCACGCGCACGAGGGAGCGGGTCTGATGGCGCACGCGTCCTCGCCGGGGGGCCACTCCCACGAGGCCACGTCCCCATACCGGGACAACTTCTCGGACGAGGCAGCCTACCACAACGCCGCCGCCCCGGGCGTTGCCGTCCCGTACCACCCGGGTCACTCCCAGGTCGGGCCCAGCCTGTCGCCGCCGCCGCCGCGCCCCGCGCGGTCGCCAGAGTCGCCGCCGCACCAGCAGCCGCAGCACCAGCGCGGCGTCGGCCCGTACCGGCACCAGCAGAACTTCTCGCGCGGTGGTTCACAGTCCGGCCACGCCCGGCCCCTTGTGCGGACGGAGCAGCAGCAGCAGCCGCATCCGTATCAGCAACAGTCGCCGATAAGTCCGTACGGACAGCCCAGGCCAGGCGGTGCACCACAGGGCGACGGTGGTATGATTTAACGAAGAACCGACTGCTCTTTTTTCCCCCCCCCCCTCTCTCTCT